CAACACTGGTGTCTAGTATGTAATTTTAGTGGACTATTATAGTAGCTTTGGGATAATTTATCCCATTGCGTATTTTTTGAAAAGCATTATTCAATGGTTGTTAATACCAATTAGTAAGAATTATGGTCACCATAGTGTATTATAAGTAGCTGTCTAAAACAGGCTATTCCTGGCAATTTGTAACATGTATATCAGGATGCCTTCCTAGTTGATCAGTAGATTGAAATGTGTGAATGCTTTATGTATTTTGCTGACTCAAAATCTTCCATGTGGTGGACTGGTGGTGATTTTGTTCTGTTGATGCCTCAGATGGATGTTTAAGATTCTCTTATCGCGTGTGATATTTGAAAAGGAATTGAATTGTGGTCTGGTGGTTTTCTCTATAGCTTGAGTATGATATTTTGGAATATATTGTGATCGAACGACTTGTACAAGGGGGTCGTGAAAAGCTAATTTGTTCTTTTACAATTTTGTTCTTTTACAGGTGGTTGGAATTGGACCTAAAGTTGGTTGATGATATAGGAATAGTGGGTGCTTCAAATGCAGGAAAAAGCATGTGTTTAAGTGTTATTAGTGTTGACATGTAGTTTTGTTTGACATGTAATGTTAGGTAACTTGTTTGGCATGTGATATTTTTTTGAAATGAGTTATTGTTCTTATGTATGGTATTTTATTTTGTATTATGATAATTTCAATCTGTTGTTTAATTTGAAAATTAGTAATTCTATCAAAAATATATATATTTTTAAAACATTTAAAATTATGACACGCAAATACGTGTCATCTTCATTTATGACAGGGGCTTTAATGATACGCAATGCGTGTCCTAAACGCGCGTCATAAGGTTACGACACGCAAATGTGTGTCGTCTTCCTTTATGATAGGGCCTTCCTTGATACGCATTGCGTGTCGTAACTGCGCGTCGTAAATGCGTGTCGTAAATGAGCGTCGTAAAATGTGCGTCGTAAATAGACGACACACAAAAGCATGCCGTCTCTCGTTATGACAGGGCCTTCCTTGACACGCATTTGCGCGTCGTCTGAGCGTTTTACGACATGCATTGCGCGTCGTAAAAGGCTGTTTTTCTAGTAGTGACACCATGCTCTAATGAGCCTAATGATAATGTTGATTTGAAAGATCTTCCAAAGGACCCATCGGATAGGCCAAAGATTACAAGTTACAAATCAAATGTAAGAGATGATGTAAGAAGAGCGTATTTGCTTCAAGGACCTTGTCAAATAAGGTTACATAAGTTTCCAAAAAATAAAATAGGTGATAGATTTAGAAGATTCGTTCCTTCATGGTTTGATGATTTTGATTGATTAAAAATATAGTGTGAAAAAGAATAGAGCATATTGTTTATATTGTTATGTGTTTGGAGACCTCATGAATCAAAGAGGAGGGAGAGATGCATTTGTTTCCCAAGGTTTTGATACTTGGAATAAAAAAGATGCATTTCGGACTCATGTGGGTAATGTTGATAGTTTGCACAAAAAAGCAAGAAAAAAGTGTGAATTTTTATTGAGAGAAAAACAAGCTATTAATGTAGTCTTGAGTAGGTAAACCGAAGCGGAGGACCATAAATATAAAGATTGATTACGTGTTTCTATTATTGTTGTTAGACTTTTATTGAAAACCAGTTTACCGTTTTGTGGTCATGATGAGTCGGTTAACTCGGAAAATAGAGGGCTTTACATTGAAGTGTTAAAGGACATTCGGGAGACTAATGAAGATATTTTCAACAACACTTTAGAAAATGCTCCTAAAAACAATCAACTTATTTCCCTAAAATTCAAAAAGAACTTGTACAATGTTTTGCACAAGAAGTCCTTTTGAGTATTCACCAAGAGATTGGTGTAGATGTATTTGCTTTATTGGTCGATGAATCTAGTGATATCTCGAGAAAGGAACAAATGGCTATTGTTTTGCGATATGTTGATAGTCTTGGTTTTGTGAAAGAAAGATTCATAGGCATTGTGCACGTGAAAGATACATCTTCTTTAACACTAAAAAACGCATAAATGAAGTACTTACAAGCAACAAGTTGAGTTTTAGCCAAGTAACTTTTTTTATTTCAATTTAATTTAATTCGCTTTATGTGTAATATTATATATAATATTTTTTAATTTTTTTAATAGATAATAGGACAAGGTTATGATGGGGCTAGCAATATGCGAGGGGAATTCAATGGTTTGAAAGCTTTGATATTACAAGAGAATGACATAATTTTTTATATACATTGCTTTGCAGACCAACTTCAATTAGTGGTTATGGCTGTAGTAAAGAAGCATGACAGTGTTAGTGACTTTTTTGAACAAATTTCGTTGGTGGTTAATGTTGTTTGTTCCTCGTTTAAAAGAAAAGACTTACTACGGGAACATGCAAGAGAAAGGGTGCAAAAAGGCTTGTGTAGTGGCGAACTTGAAATCCGGAGAAGGTTAAATCAAGAGACTACACTTGTTCGAGCGGGAGATACAAGATGGGGTTCACATTTCAACACACTCACAAGTTTAATGAAGTTGTACGGATGTTCTTGTAGTTTTAGAATTTGTGAAAGTGGATGGAGGGTCATTGGCAAACTATCAACAAGCGTCCGAAATCTTAGCATATTTTAAATCTGATGAGTTTGTGTTTTAATTATATATGATGTATGGAATTTTACACCTCACGGGGTACATTATCAAAGCAACTTCAAAAAAAAGATCTAGACATTTTAGAAGCAACTTCGATGGTTAGAGGGACAATGGACGCATTGCAATCTTTAAGAGACACGGGGTTTGCAAGCATTTTGCCAAAGATATCCTCTTTTTGTCAAGCACACAATATTGCTACTTTGGAAATGGAGGATTTTTATGTTGGTGCGAGAAACTGTACGACCATAAAGACCAATAGATTTCATTTTGAGGTTGAAATCTTCAACACGGTGGTGGATATGCAACTTACAGAATATCGGGGTCGATTTAGTGAAAAAGCACCTAGTTACCAGAATACATGGATGCTTTGAGCCCTTGTGATTCATTTGCACAATTTGACAAATCAAAGTTGTTGAAGTTGGCTAAGTTGTACAAGTATGACTTTGATGATTCGGATTTGATAGATCTTGAAGGACAACTTGAGATATTTTATCACTCTTGCATCAAAGATGAGTGTTTTACCACTTTGAAAGGAATTTCCGAGCTTTCTCGTTTGATGGTTAGTACGGAGAAACATCAGTCTTATCCTTTGTGTTATAAGCTTTTGAAGGTGGATTTAATTTTACACGTAGCGATCGCAAGTGTAGAAATATGTTTTTCGAAGATGAAGCTTCTTGAAGACCGACTTGCGCAACAATATTGGCGATGACTTTTTGAACGACGCATTACTTTGCAATGTTGAGACTGAAGCACTTGTGAAAGTTGAGAATAAAAAAGTAATGGAACGGTTTTAATGTCCGCATGAAGAGGACAAATTTAAATTGTAGTAGATAGTTATGTTTTTAACTTTTTATGTAATGAATCATCTTTTTGTATTAGAGGTAATGAATTATTTTTCGGTTTTAAATTATGTTTGACCGAATATTTTTTTTGGAAACCCCTACTATCAATTCTTGCGTCCGCCCCTGGCATGGTCAATCAATTCATGCATGCTCCTAGTAAAGAAAATATGATTGTTGTTTATCGAATACTGAGGTATCTCAAGTTCTCACCTAGAAAGGGATTTTTTTGGGAAGAAATCAAGAGCATGAAGTTAGTGGGTACACAGATTCGGATTGGGTTGGTAATCTTATGGATGAGAAGTCTACTTCTGGATACTTCACTTTTGTCGGAGGAAATCTAGTTACATGGTGAAGTAAGAAATAGAAGGTTGTGTCAAGATCAAGCGCAAAAGTTGAGTTTCGAGGAATGGTTCATGGAATATGTGAGCTCCTATGGATAAGACGATAATATTAATAGAATCTATACAATTATATTGTGACCCATGGCAACATCTCCTTTAAATGAAGACGTGACCCATAAACCATATGTGTGCTTAATATTTCTAAAAGTTGCTTTAAGAACAACATTCACTTGTATCCATCGATATGGTTTTGCTATTTCTTCGTCTTAAACAAGATCAAGTGTAAACCAAAGGTACATATTCAACTAGAAGAAGGTGACCCAAAAATCATATACATCACACCATGGTGGCTATCCCGAATTTGGATTATTTTGGGTTTGGAATAATGGTTTAGAAGCGAATTGTTTAGTGGTTTTATCTATTATGTAGACGCTTTGTGGAAGAAAATGTTCACATAACGACTAAGGTCAAGGGCAATATAATGACGTGTTGCTTAGTTAACTTCTATTGTCCCTTGCATAAGTAAATCTATTGAAAATGTTGTAATGTTGATTGTATATGGCCGTACATTAAAAAGTGTTAGTCATCAATGGATTAATTCCCATATTAACTAATCATGTTTTTTTGTGTGACATTAACTTCTAGAATTCACATATATTAAAGCATCCAAAACAAAAACAAAAAAGAAAAAGAAAAAAAGAAAAAATACATTTTACTTTTTGATGGAATTTATAATCGTACAAATCACTCAATCATTTATCAACAATGCTACACATATTGTAGCGATTAACACAAGAAAAACGCGTATAACTATTAAACCTGTTGTACCACCATTTGTGTGATCAACCAAACCTACCCACAACACTTTTTGTATTCTCCGCCATTATCCTTTTCTTTATTCCCCCTTTAACTTTTTCATATTTTACATTCCGCCCCCTTTAACTTTTCAAAAAGTTGTCTCATTATTGATCCATTATTCCACAACGACTCACCATCACCAACTCATAGCAATAACGACACGTACTGTCTGCACCGCCGTCCGCCGCCCGTAGGAATCTCCGACGACGGGAAACAAATTACTCAACATGACATAGAAATATAATTAATTAATGTTTTGTATACACAGATGCTCACTCATGGTGTAATAATTTCATAAATGCAAACCCTAAAACTATTCAGACGCTTTAAAAGGGACGTAGATATCTGTTTGATCGGCTTACGTGAGAAAATGCACCAACCAGAGCTTGTCCAGACGGTAGGTACGACCGACGCCGACTACCTCTGTTTTCTGCTTTGTTTGACGGATTATTTTCCTCCGCCGAAGCAACGTCGCCGACGGCTGCCGCTACCTTGGCGCTTTTCTCAACCTTCTTCACATTTTCATTGTTCATCTTCTTGTTCGTTGCATTTAAAGGCTTGAAGAGGAGAAATGGCGTTTCCTTCGTTTCCTTAACGTCGCTGTTGCTCCGGTGGAGAATGTCACGAAATTTCCACCGCCTTGACGAATTACTCTTCTTACTCCTTTCAGGTGACTCTGGCTTCGGATTCCAAACGCAAAAGCTTCCCGGAGTAACTCCGTCGAGGTTTTCCGCCTCCGGTGAGGACCAATCCGCGAAATCGCGCTCTTCGCTGAAAAGCTTTCTCAGAGGAAGCCGTACCACCAGAGACGGCTTACAGTCAGTCTTCGGCGAACCATTGACAACCTTAATCAAATTAGGATCAACGTCCAACAATAAACTTGTATCAAATAAAGGGTAACGAGGCCATATATGACCCTGCGAGAAGATCTCATCAGCTGAAATTGAAGATGAATTAACGTCCGTACAAACGACAGCAAACTCGAACTCATCGTCATCACAATTCTTGTCGCCCTTCAGTTTTTGTGGAGGAGAGTTAGTATCAGCTCTTTCGTCGGCGGCCGGAGCAGAAAACCCATTGTTATTATAATGAAAATCGTTAAAGTTTAAGATATCATCATAATCGTCGCCATTTTCGTGGCGAAATTCTTGGACAACCCTAGCAGCAACATCCATAAGGTGGCTAGAAGAATGGCTGGTGAAGCTCGGCGATACACCGGAAATTGTACTGGACTGCATAGAGCTGCCGAAGATGGAATCAGGATGTACTGAAGTATGATTTTGGAGAGCGAGTCTGATATTGAAATGAACATAAAATGTTTGACTTCGCGAAGTTATTTTGAAGTTGCAACATAGAACATAGGCCCATTTATTGGGTATAGTTATACATTGATATTCAATTGATTAACATGAGTTATTACAAAACAAACAAAAGAAATTTTTAAGGTATAATTACAAATTAACAATCATTATCGATCATTTAAGTTGATAACTTGATTAAATATATAAAAAAATGACTATAGACAAATAGGATGTACATGACAAAAAGGAAATATGTATGATTACTTTTTATAATAGTAGGTCACACATCATTATAATTTATAAATGTGATTCTAAATGTATATTATTAGTTTACATAACAAAAGAAGTTGCTATGAACATGAAAAAAAAAATGTTATTATTCTATAAATTAAACAAAAAAACATTTTATTTTAGTGATGTATCTAACACCTCATCTTTAATATATTTTAAAAGAGAGTAAATTACACGAATGGTCCATGTGGTTTAGCGTAATTTTCATGTTTGGTTCCTAACTTATTTTTTTTAATTTGGACCGTCCCTATAGTTTGGTTTTGTTACGCGTTTGGTCCCTGTTAGGCTTAAAAAGACTAGATTGCCCTTCTCTATTTTCTTTTTTAATTTTTTTTTAATTTTTTTTAATTTTTTTTAATTTTTTTTCATTAATCTAAAATAAATATTTGATAAAATCACTGCCCCTCTTAATCCCTTCCCCCTCTGCCACTTTCCTCCGTCTTTTTCCACTTCCCCCCGTCTTTTTCCTCTTGCCTGAGTAAATTATGATTGTCCTTCCTTCTGCTATCGGAAAGAGAACCCCATTGATTGATAATCAAAATAAAACCAAAAATCACATAATCAGTTAACCAGGAAAACATCCATTGATGGTTAACTGGATTCAGACTCAAAAATCACAGGATCCAATCCACAAAATGGTAATCAAACCCAAAAATCAAAACCATAAATCAAACCCATAAATTTATTTAAACCAAAAATCAAAATCACAAATCAAATACCGAAATCAAACCCACAAATTTATTCAAACCATAACTCAGAACCATGTATACTGCAACTTTTATGGGACCTTGTGAGGAAATCAAAGCTTTTTGAAGACCATGATGGAGGTGATGATATCAGCGAAGACTATGGATTTGATTCTCAGGGATTGAGATGGGTTCGAAGATTTTACACAACGAAGAGATTTGTTCGAAGTAGTTTGATGATGGAATTTATGGTTGAGAGAACGTTGACGATGCTGGTGATCTAGGTATGGTTTAGGGTTCTTCAAATGAAAGCAGGCGGATAGTTGAATAAAATCCAGATCAACTGAAAGGAAGAAAACGTTAGTGCAGGGCTCAGAAACGGAGTGCGTTCCATCATTCCTTTGATGACTTCAACTTAGGCGTTCATGGTGGTAGATTGGCGGTTTAACAATAGGGATCACCGGTAGTGATATGTAGAAGCAAGATGCGGGATTAACGCAGGATAAAGTTGTAGGGTTTGGCTCCAATTACTAGTAGCAGGTCTGTTGGTGGTGGTGGAGGATACCTGAAGCTTTAGATATTTTGATTAGGTTCTTTAGTTTCATTTACAATATGAGAGAAAAAGAAAGAGATGGAGATGAAGAGGAAAACAAATGGACACAATGGGGGGGGGGGATAAAAATCAAGTGGGTGGGACCTATATTTAATAAATATATATTTTTTAACAAGTTAGAAATAAATAAAATAATTAAAATAGTAAACAAGGGCATATTGGTCTTTTTAAGTCGATTAGGGACCAATCGTGTAACAAAACTAAAGTATAGGGGTGGTCCTAGTTAAAAAAAATAAGTTAGAGACTAAACTTGCAAATTACTCCAAACCACATGGACCATTCATGTAATTTACTCTTTAAAACATGTATTTTTATCATATCTTATGGTATTAAATTATATTTTAAAATTTTGGTTCCAAACAACACTAAAACATTTGAAAAATGTTTATACAATCCCAGGTTACAACTTCATATCAAGCACCAATCATAGTAAAACAAATCATAGTTACAAAAACTAAAAACTAAGCTCAAAAGTAGGCAATACAACTACAAAGTTTCACTAGATCTACTCTAAGTATAGTGATTATCTTCTAATCACTTTCTCAAATCGTCCTTTTTTTTAGAACTAAATTCTTCTCAGTCTATGCATCTGTACCAGAAATACATGACATTTAAAAATAATACATGAGATAAAAGTGTCGTATAAGCTATATGAGTTTTACACATAATTTATTATCAAAACATTTGATAAAAACTTTTTATTCCAATCACATTTCATGCAATGTAATATATATGCAATGCATCATCACAAACCAAGATAAAACCTTATAGGCCTTCTCATATCATGACTCTATATTGACATACGACCACTCAATTATATACTGATATAAAAACCTTAAGGTTAATCATAAAACTAACACCCTATCGACCTTACCAAAACAGAAAGAACAAACCAATCTATTAAGGTATCGCTAGACATCTACTTCGTGAAAGGAGGTGTCATCACAGTAAAGTTTTCCTTTATCCCATTCTTTGGATATTATGTTGTCCGAAGACTACTTTATACTATGTAATCATACTTAATGTATGCATGATTACCACTTTTTTATGTAAGTCCATCACACACATAAAAGTCAAGAAATGCACATAACAGCTATAGTTTATTAATGGAAATATGTGTTTGTTTATGTTATTGTTTGGATGGTGTAGAAAGAAAAAAAACATTTGGTTACATTTGAAGGCTTAGCACGCTACCCGCAACGAATCCGTATAAAGGAAGTTGCATTAGAGATATCATCCTAATATCTGAAATATATGAGGATGGCACGGATGGTGAATCAGATTCCGTTCAACAATTATCAGACTAAGACTAAGGTGTTGTTTGTTTTTTTCTAAAAAACCACTTCTGTCCACTTATTGCTGCGCCGCGTAGCACACACGCAATACTTGGCCCTTCACAGTTGTTTGTTTTTCAGAAGACTTCTGACTTAAAAACTGTTGCGCGTGTGCTGCGTGGCGCAACACTTGACCCTCTACTTCAAACCTCTTCACACCTTACTTTAACTTATTGCAACAGTCTGCCGAGGTTAAAAAACAAACATACTTTTTATTACATGATGCAGCTGTTTGGTCCCCCTCTTCTGCTACAAAGGATTGCAGAGGTGGTCCGCAAACTTCAGACATTTTCGCTTCAAAAAAACAAACGACGCCTAAGACTAAGACAATCGAAGATGACAACACTTTGGCCAACTAAAATTTTTTTTATCCCATTTTCTTTTTATGTTATTGTATTTTTACATCTTTTAAAAATTTATATTTAAATAAAAAAAGAAAAAAAACATCATTTTTGGTCCCTGTGCTTTCCCATATCTGATGTTTAGTTCCTAAGTATCAAAATTTTTACAGATGGTCCATGTGCTTTCAAATATTTTGATGATTGGTCCTTAAGCCTCACTCCGTCAACTTTTAGACGTTAATAGAAGGGCATTTCTGACATTTCACTACCACAGGAACCATCTATGAAGTTTTGTCTTATTATATATATATATATATATATATATATATATATATATATATATATATATATATATATATATAAAGATCTCTCTCTCTCTCTCTCTCTCTCTCTGTCTCTCTAAAGAAGAAAGTCAACCCCCATCCACATCTTCATTCTTCCCTAACCCAGTTTCCCATTGAAAGCAAGTGTGTGTGTGTGTTTTTTCGAAAAATACATTTCATGGAAGAAATCAAAGCTTTACCCACTACCCTAATCAAGAATCCCCCAACTTTGTTAATCTGCCCTAATTCATATCATATCAGTGGCCAACATTCTAGCAAATATATTGTCAATCGCATTAGATAGATCCAAAATTAAACCAATAAATAAGATAGCAAATCCATTTTAATGAGATTAATAGATCAAAATCAATAAGACCAGCACCATTGTAGTTTGGATAAATCATCTCAAATATGCTCAAATCATGGTATTCTCTCCTTTCCACCTCTAAATGTTCCTCCACATCGCCTTCACTTGGCCTACCTTCTTCATCCTCTTCGTCATTTCCAGGAGAAAGAAGTCTGATCAACCCTTTCATCAATCCATACCCATCAACACCCCATTCTTCTTTCGCCATGTCAACTAAAACATCTCGAGATGGAGAAAAAATCGGTGTAGGGAGTACAGAAGAATTAACAGGGCATGGAGAAACTAGAGATGTATTCCGTTTGTCATTTCCTTTCTTCCCCTTCCAGTTTTTATTGTTTCGTGGGCCCGTAGGTTTTTAAGAAGACAGAACGAAACCTGAAGGCTTCGTGTTCGTATTCTGGAACGTGAGCTACTCCGGTAGCGCTGATGGCCACATCCCGTAACGCCCACCTCAGTTGTTCAACATCCCCTGAGACATGATCAGAAATTACCACCATTGTTAGTAGTATCGATTCCTACAACCGGTTCGCAATCCAACGACAACTCTCCAGCGAGATTCACTAGTGGGTTTTTATTTCGGGGGTTAGCTAACTGTGTAGTTCCATGTCAGAGATGCTTTGGTGGTCGAGCTCTACGGTGGTAATGGAGTTTCAATGTTTTTGGAGGTGAGGGAGAAAGAAAAAGGTGGGTGGGTGGGTTTACTGACGAGAGAGAGAGAGAGGGAGATAGAGATAGAGAGAGAGAGAGAGAGAGAGAGAGACCCTTTAAAAATTAAATAATATATTTCTTTTTTTTAAATAAGACAACAGGTCATAAATGATCTATGTGACAGTGAAATGATGGAAATGTCTTCCGAATATAATAATCAAATAATGGTTAACGGCCAAAAGCTAACGGAGTTAGCAAAAAGGACCAAACATCAAAAAATTTTGAATCATAGGGACCATTTGTGAAAATTTTGAAACTTAGGGGCTAAACTTCAGATCTGGGGAAAGCACATGGACAAAAAATGATGTTTTTTTTCTAAAAGACATATATCTAGTTGTATTTAAATTTAATTTGCAAAAAGATTTCAAAAAATTGAATCATCTAGTTTGGAAAAAAAATGGTTTTTATTGTTCTAAATCCGGTTATATCGGATCTACATTTATGGCCAAAATCCACATAAATTCGATGTGAATTTTAGAAAATATTTTCAATTTTTTGGTTTAAATCCATATCGGATTTATAAAATAATAATAAAAAAATCGAATTGAATAAAATTTGGGGATAATGACTTAAAAGGGTAGCTTATTTTTAGATTTGTACAAATTAAGTCATTGAGGTTTTTTTGTCCACATTTTCATATTAAACTTGTTGAATCATTCAAAAAACATAATTATGACCTGCTATCCGAGGTTTAGCCGGTTTCAGACGTATTTGACAACTACGACGATACTCCGTTCATCTTCTCCGGTGAAACATTATTTTTCCAGCGGCAAGTGAAACCCATTTTTTTTACTGAAATCACACACATGCAAATTTGGTTTCATGTTCATCTAACACATACACATATTTGTAAAACAAGCTCATCCATGGCAGATCTAGCAAAAAACGAAATCGTTGTAATGATTTTCAATTTCTGAAATAGGGGATGCAATTTCTAATCTAACACACACACACACTCAAATCTGAAGAAGCTCTTAAGAACACGATGAACAAACCCTGATGAACCATACAAAGATTTGAAGAACACAATGAACAAACCCATCAGAAAAAGTCTAAATTTCGAGTTTTCTTTCAGAAGAACCCACCTGATAGTCGAATTCTTTCCAGATTATGCTCACAAACTCAAACCTTCGGGTAAGTTATTTTTTCAGAAATTGATTAAAAAAACACACCTGAAACCCTCGATTTCGAGTTCATTTTCAGAGGATGAAATCAATTCAGTGGTTTTTAAATTCGAACATAGTAAAGATGAATACACATACACACGATAAACACACATACACATACCTTCGATCTGTTTGAACACGAACCCGATGGTTTTCATGACGGGTTTTGAACACAAATATTGAAATTTCGTCGGACCTTCAAGCTTGATTTTCGGAAAACCTTCACATGTGAGTGTGTTTATCTTCAAGGAACCCAAAACACACAAAATTGATTTCTTCTTTATTCTTGGAAATCGATTTCTGGGTTTGAAAACCCTAACTCGACTTAAGGTTGTTCTTGAGTTCGATTTTTGGTCTTTGTGTTTCTAGAAAGCACAAAGAGAGCAATAGGTATGGTTTTATGTTTTTGTTGAAGATCGTGTGTGTGTGTGTGTGTTCATCTGATATGGGGTTCTTGAGTTTATGTGTTCATCAAATCTTATTTTGTGTTCATCTGATATTTAAAGAAACAACTTGCAAAGAAAAGATGCAGATGAAGAATGACTTAAAAGGGAGAAAATAGGTTTTCACTTGTCGCCGGAATTATATGTTTCGCCTGAAAAGATTAACTGAGAATCGTCGGAGTAGTCAAAAATGTCGGGAAACGACAAAACCTGCAATAGCAGGTCGTAAGTATAACATCCTGTTTCCTGCCATTTCTGAACCATGGACCGGAAGTCGGTTGTGGAAGTTTTTGGGCCTTAAGTAGGCAAAGTTTAGTCCTTGTGGAAGGAGGTAATAATAGTTAAGAGATTTTACCCTTCAATTCGGTTCAGCTCCGAAGGGTAGAAAGGGAAAAGTCATAGGCCGGGTCCTTGCATGAAATATGGATTTTTGTTCGATAAGTTTTTAGTCCAGGATATCTAGATAATATTGTAGAGCTCTTCAACACCTTTCTGTGGATATAAAGAACGTCGAAAATAGTGTTGGAACGAAGAAGTTACAACCATTTGAAGTTAGGACGATTTTTGGGTTAGCCGCGTACGCAGGGCGTACTAGGGCATCCCTAGTACGCTGGGTGTACCAGGAGTACGCAGGGCGTACGCGATCAGAGCCCAAACCCTATTTTCGTGGTTTGAGCCCTATTTAAGCTCCTTAACTTCCCCAAACCCATTCCATTCTCAGCCTCCACCTCTCCAACACCCTCTCTTAAAACCCTAACCCTAGATTGAGCCTTGTGAGCAAAAAGAATGTGCTTTTAAGTGCTTTGGAGTGTTCTTGGTGCACCTTGGAGAAGAAGGAACTCATTGAAGAAGTGTTGGTTGCATAAGATCATGTATATCCAAACTTTTTTCACCTTGATCTTTCTTCTAGAGGTATAAAGTTTGAATCTTGATGATGAAATTGTTTGATCTAGCTAGTTTTGGGTGTTATGAGCTTTTGGTCACTTTAAGTGCATAAAGTTTAGATATTGAAAGTTTATGACCTTGTTATGAATAAATATGGAAACTTTATCCATCTAAACATCATTTCAATTCAGATCTGAAGGTTAGAGACTTGGACTTAATGGATTAAGTTGAAAAAGATGCCCTTTTGGGTCCCTTTGAGACATAAAGACTAGATCTTGTTTGTTGGGACCATTTTAATGGATAAAGTGTGGAGCTATGATGAACCATAAAAATGTAATCTTGGCCCTTCTATCCCTTCTATACAAGAGTTGTGATGTCTTATTGGGTTAAGAACTTAGCGTTTTGGACATTAAGCACTTTATAGCCATGCAAAGTCATAAAGCTGGAAACTTTATGAATTAGGACATCATTTTGGGCTTGGGTCTAAGTTTTGGATGTAAGGCCTTAATGGAATAAGCTCTTAATGGAGTTTTGGGAATGGGTTACATACGTTGGGCGTACCTGGTGGTACGTTGTGCGTACGCGGTCAACGCCCCGCTTTTGGTCAACATTAGAGTACGTTGGGCGTACTCTCTTGGTACGTAGGGCGTACTTTGTTGGGAAGATATATTAACTTTTGGACCTTGACTGTTGACTGTTGACTTTGACCAGGGTTGACCAAGTTTGACTTAAGGGTATTTTGGGTATTTTGAGCTATAGTTAAGCCTTGGTCTCTATCTGTTGAATAGGTGACCTGTAGAGCCGGTATTCGGAGCAGTGTATTGTTTAGCTATTCGTCAGATTGTGAGGTGAGTTTTCCTCACTATACCTGTGGGTTGAAGGCACCAATGCCAACCCACTAGATTATTTATCCTGGTCAGGATAGTGATATGATAGTTATAGCTATTTGTTGGATATGTATGATCATCTGTATTTGATGGCTTTGTGTTTATGTTTGTTAGTTGCATATGTCGACATGTTGTGATGGGTTGAGGCGGTCCTGCTTTGTGCTGTAGGCCAAGATACCTGGGGATAACCAGATAGGCTGTAGGCCCTACGAGGCGGTCTAGTTAGGCCGGCGGCCCGTGGACCGGTCCGGATAGGCTGTAGACCATGCGAGGCGATCCAGTCCTGCCGAAGGCTCGTAGAGCGGTCCAGATAGGCAGTAGGCCCTGCAAGGAGGTCCGATCAGACTGACTATTTATATTGTATGCTTGTTTGTTGTGGTGTGCTGGGACTTTGGGGGAACTCACTAAGATTTGGCTTATAGTTTTAGTTTATCGTTTCAGGTACTTTAGAGGATCGTGGGAAAGCAAATGCGTGATCATGCACAACTTCCTGTTTTTTATGGATTTGGGTCTTGAGAAAACTCTGATTTTGAAAAAATGTTTTTAGAAACAATGACTCTTTTGTATATAATGATGTTAAATGGCTGATTTTGAAAATTTTTAAATTTCTTTGATTTTTGGGATGTTACAAGTTGGTATCAGAGCCTTGGTTTGAAATAATTAGATGAACATTCGTGTGAATCCAGACTCAAACTAGGAAACTGCAAAAGTTTTTAAACTGATTTTCAAAATTGTTTTCAAAAACAACCAAGGAAGGATGTAATGTCTACGATCAGCCAGAGCAAGAAAGTATACCCAAGTTAACCACACCGTTATTTGATATTATGTGTATGTTAGAACAACATGCTAGTTGTAGGATAGGGATCTTCAGGAATTGCATGATAGAATTGCATGATACATGATGCCTTATTTCCTATAGAGTTTTCTTGCTAATTGTTGTATGACTCTTTTGGGTGTGAAATAACTATTAACTGGATACGTTAAGTCACATGCTGCATGGGTTAAATAATTTTTTAGTGAAAGATTTAGTCCTATGGCGCAACTCTTGTTTGAGTCCAACCGTTGTAGGATTGAATCTTTTAATCAAAAATTATTTAATTTATGTTACATGTGATTGTATTCATGCAGTAGTTAACTGGCACTAATGGGGGTCGTCTGGCAGTTGATGGTAGGGTGAGGTGTGGATCCTAGAAGAGCCTAGGAAGTGCTTTAGTGCGGTTGTTATGCTTTTAAGCGGGTGTTTGAAGTACTATTATGAGTAGATAACTTAGAGGACTCGGGATGATTCTTGAGGAAAGTATGGATGGGTGTGGAAGGTAGTATTGGGCCCATACTATTGGAAGCACAAGATCCATACTCGAATCAAGTAAGTCACGAGGATTCTAAGGAGCTTGTTGATGGTAGATAG